TCTGGTACCGACCTTTGGTTGTTTTTTTAGCATCAGTACAAACACAAGCGCTCATATACACGTGCATATACTCATCCCTATGAACGCACACACGCACACCCTACCCCTATGAGCACCTCTGAGAGACTGAGCCGGCATATCATCTTGAGATTTACGAAGTCACCGTAGGCGCCTCGTCGTCGACGGGAACGTCTCCTCTCACTGAAAGCGCATCGCCGAAAATCCTGAAATAAATCCAGGAATAATGTGAGCACCAGGATTTGAACCCTGGTGGGTTGAGGATACCACTGTCCACCTAACCAACTCACCCACATGTTGATTCGCCCGACCTTTGGTTGTTGATGCAGTAAATGCAACCGGCCATAATGTTATGGCATTTCTATTAGAATCTCTACAATTTCACATGCCCCACCCTCCTTCCTCACACAAGGGGAAATATCTGATGCACTGGAGTGCTTGGTGTCATCGATGCACCCGATTTAGTTTAGCTATTTTACTAATGTTGAAAAATTAAGCTAAAAACTTAATACATTCACACAACACTAATCTATGTTGTCACAAAAAAAATCAGATTGAAATTAGAAACATAGTTTGAGATACTCGGATCGAGCAAACTATTACGGGCAAGGGTTGGGTTGTGCACAACAAGCACCCTTGCACTAGATACCGCCCTCCCAACCTTAACTCCTCAAATCCGAGGAGTTAGCTCCCCTCAGAAAAAGCCCGAGGAGTTAGCAAAGATGTGGAGCTAATCAAACCCCTTAAAATTAGCTCTCTAAAAAAATCTTTGCAAACTCTCTTTCGTCCTTTTGCTTACATACTTCATTTTAACTTGATATTTGCACACCACATTAATTCAAAACCTGGTAATTTAAATGCACACAATTCAACAACATTTAAACTTCAATATTTTAAACTTAAATGTTCAAATTCAAAAACACCATAGAGTCCAACTGAAGTAATAATAATAATAATAATAATAATAATAATAATAATAATAATAATAATAAAAGCACAAAAATCAAGTGCTATGAAGTGACCACAAGTGCTCAATGAGATCATCTTGGAGTTGGTGACTTCTCAGGCCTTGTTCGGAATCCCTCCTCTCTGCTCTGACTCCGCGGAATTGTGGAGCTCACTTTTAGTCGCTCCGTGAAAATGAGCTAGAGCCTGGTCCGCTCCGGAGCGGAGTGGAGTGGAGGGAGCGGAGAGGAGCCGAACGCGGCCTCAATCTTGTTGTTTTCCTGTGGTTTTTAGTTCCTGTAGGAGTCTAGAATACACGACCTCTCAATTCATGCATTCTTCTTTTTGAATTCTTGCGTTCCAAACGTGGCCCTTTATATGGTAAATAAGCTTGTAAGTACTTTGTAAAGAAATATAAGAGCGTTTAGATCACTGAGTATTGTTCAAGAAGCAAATACTTCGGCCAAGTGGAATGGTATAGCGCAGATGATTGCCTGAAGAGGAGCCAGGGTCCCAGATCATTGCACACCCCGTCAATTTCTCTATCCACCTACAGAATTGAGAACAGGATTTGCCTGTACCTTTAGGTCCTGTCAAGATTTACGTTAGTGCGTGGCCCGAGAGAATATCAGACCATCTCTAGTGGGGTGAAAAGGCGATTCTCGTTCCTTAGAATCCGTTCGATTTGTGCACTGGACCGAGCGATGGCAGAGGCACACCCTATTCCCACTCATAGATCCTCCTCTGGCTCTCCCATACATGGAGAAGAATATGTGCGACCTCGCCACCACCCAGCTCAGCTAGCTTCCACCAGTTCAACTAGAAACCACCCAACCGGCCGGCGCAAGGAGAGGAAGGAGCCATGGCCGAGCTCGCGACGGGCGCCGTGAGCTCGCTGCTGGTCGTCATCCGTAGTGAGGCGCTGCTGCTGCGCGGCGTCCGGGACGACGTGCAGTTCATCAAGGAGGAGATGGAGAGCATGAAGAGCTTTCTGGCGCACCTGGCCAGGTGGGCGCCCCCCGGCGGCGAGCACGACGAGCAGGTGCGCACCTGGATGAACCAGGTGCGGCTGCTCGCCCAGGACTGCAACAACTCCATCGGCCTCTACCTCTACAGGGGGAACCCTGATATCCACCGCGCTAGAGGAGGGCTGCGAGGCTACCTCTGGTGGGCGACCTGGTTCTTCCACAAGTTGGCCGCACAGCACCGCGCGGCCGAGGAGCTGCGCTTGCTCAAGGAGCGGGCACGCGACGTCGGCGAGCGGCGGTTGAGGTATGGCGTCGAGGTCCCGGACAAGTCAGGGAAGGGGCAATTGGCTCCGACAGCATCATCATCGACGTGGGCTGCTGCAGCAGGTGGCTATGCGGCCGGGGACAAAGAAGAAGAAGAAGAAGAAGACGGTGACGGTCAACTCGTGGTGGGAATGGCAACTGGTGGCCATTCTGGTCCAAGAGCCTTCACTAAGCCTCACACTCTGGACGACTACGTCAAGGCAAAGCTATGGGAGTGGATGAATGGAGCTCCTGGAAATGCCGGCGAAAGTTTGTCCATGGTCGTAGCGGCAGCCTACACGTATCAGGACCTCCTCGCTCTTGTACAAGAAATCTGGGTTTTGAGTCAAAACCCAGAGGCCTCCCCCTACCATCGCATTGTGGTGGTTGACATCCCAGCCGTGCACCACGATTTTATGCCGCTACGGCCCATGGAGGTTCTCTTCTACATTCTGCGGGAGCTCAAGCTTGCCAAATCCAACCCCCAGGAGCAAGGCACAGAAGGCCAAGAGGATCTTGACTCTTGGAAAGTTTACATGAGAAAATGGCAAATTACCGTGAAAAGAAGAGTGCTCTTCTTGATATCAAGGTGACTATTGAAGAGATGGAGATTGATGAAAAGCTTGACAAAATCAAAAGTGGTATTCATGGTCAACTAGCAAAGGGCGACGGACAACCCAAGGGTGACAAGCTGCTGGGTAATTTTGACCAATTGGACCTAAACGAACTACTTCAGTTGGTGCTCCAGACAGCGTCTCAACAAGATCAAAACGGGAAGAATAAAGACATGCATATATTACCAGCGTGGGACAAAAAGAACATCATCGTCAAGAAGCTTAAGGAGCATATGGAAGCAAAGGAAAAGGACAAGAAGCTTGAAGAGGAAGAAGCTGCCAAGCATATGGGGGTGGAAGAAGGAGAAGAAGCCATGGCCAAGCATATGGAAGAGGGGGGAGGAGAAGTAACCATACATATGGAGGAGGAAGGAGGAGCCAAGCAAATGGAGGAAGGGGGAGGAGAAGTAACCATGCATAGGGAGGAGGAAGGAGGAGCCAAGCATATGGGGGAAGGAGAAAAAGCCGCGGGAGCTGCAGCAAGGCAAACACGCAAACATATGGAGGAGGGGGAAGGTGGAGAAGTAACATGCAAACATATGGAGGAGGGGGAAGGAGAAATAGCCATACATATGGAGGATGGGGGAGGAAAAGTAACCACTGATAAGGAGGAGGAGGAAGGAAAGGAAGATGAAGAAGAAGAAGAAGAAGAAGATGAAGATGATGATGATGATGACGACGACGACGACGACGACGAAGAAGAAGATGATGACGACGACGATGAAGAGGAAGAGACGACATGGATTCAGCTCCATAAGGCACAATATGCACACATCCTGGGGAAGCTGTTCCCCAAGAGCAGCAGCAAGCCTGTGCAGGCTCAAGACAGATCCTTGGATAAGCAAGCTACAAAGACCACAACGGATACATTGGGTGAGGATCAAGTAAGAAAACTCATCCACGATGCAAAGGAAGACATCTTACGGGAGCTGCAGCAAAGCAAATATGACAAGAGTGAAGGGGATCCTGGTGCTCCGAATCAAAACCCAGAATCTGTTTCTGAAAAAATATTTGCCTCTTTCATGGATCAGATGATGGACAAAATGAAGCATGAGTTCAAAGAGCAGCTCGAGATCAAAGGGCTCGTGAACAAGATTAAAAAGAACTTGAATCCTCATCCGTACCGGGCTAAGAAGTGTGAATGCCCCCTGTTTATCCTCAAAGTTGATGAGCTGATGGATGTTTCCTCATGTGAGGATATCAGAAATGCTTTGAGCCTGTTAAACTGCAGCGCCGATTTGATGATTGTCACCGGCGCAAAGGACATCCAGCGGGCTAAAGAATATTGCTATCCACCGCTGGAACCTATAGACTATTCTCTTGCTGGCCTCTACCATGATACAGTGCTCGAGCTTACTAGTCAGCAGAAGAATGAAGACAGCTATGACCCCCAAATTTTTCATGATATCTTGTACGAGTGTGAGCCACATGAATTCTGCATGAAGGTGTTCACTCATGCTCTGCATGCTAACCCCAAGAGGAGCGGTGAGGAGTTACACAAGCTGCACAGCACCCTGCAGGCTTTACCAACAAAATCATTCAACAGCATCACTAAGGTGATGTTCAAGTTCTCTTACAATGACCTGCCTAAAGAATACAAGTCCTGCTTGCTGTACCTAGCTATCTTCTCTCCCGGACAAAAGATCAGGCGGTCAACCTTGATTGCACGCTGGGTTGCAGAAGGGCTGACATCCAAGGAAGATTGGCCCAGTTCTGTGCGTCAGGCCAACCGATGTTTTGACACACTTGTTGGCCGGTGCCTTGTTGATGCAGCTAATATTGATGCCATGGGAAAAGTAAAGAGCTGCGTCGTAAGTGATTCAGTTCATGGATCATTACCACCATTGCCAGAAAACAACACATTGTGGAGACACGCCTGTCACATCACTTGGCTCGCCACTTCTCCATTTTCAATGATCTCCAACTCCGCAGCTCTGATAGAATTGGTCAATTCTTCCATGGGCTCTCTAAATCATCTCAAGTATCCCTGCTCAAGGTGCTAGATCTAGAAGGTTGTCGGTGCTTTCTTGAGAAGAACCATCGGTACCTCAAGGAAATCTGCAGCAAGATGTTACTGCTCAAGTATCTGAGCCTAAGGAGAACAGATATTACCCAGCTACCTAGTGAAATCAACAACCTCCGTGAACTAGAGGTACTGGATATCCGAGAAACTAATGTGCCTCCACATGCAACAGCACATATCCTGCTATTGAAGCTGAAGCGTCTGCTTGCTGGCCACATTGATCCAAGTAATTTTGAATCTAATCCCCAGATTCCTCATAGGATCGACAAAATGGTAAACATGGAGGCACTACACAATGTCAAGGCCAAGCAGAGTCATGATTTAAAAGATATTGGAAGGCTATGGCAGCTGAGGAAGCTAGGTGTGGTTATCGATGATACTGATAATCACCTAAGGAATTTGCTTAAGGCGATCAGTGACCTACATGAGTGTCTCTGTTCTCTGTCAATCACTATTCCTGTAGCCGGACCACATGAGGCAGAGTTACCAGAAGTCAATGTATCTTACCTAAAAAAACATCCCAAGATTCTTGAGTCTCTAAGCATCAAGGGAACCACACAGAAGGGCCGTCTTCTTCCAATGTTCATAAAAGGCGATAACAACAAACTTGCCAAGATAACTCTATGTCACACTCTGCTGAGCCAAGATGATCTGGAAGTCCTTGCCAAGCTGCCCAAGTTACGGTGTGTCAGGCTCCAACATATTCTATGCATCGAGCACAAGCTGAACTTCAAGAAAGGTGAATTCGGATGCCTCAAGTACCTTCTTGTTGAGGACTCAGACTTGACTAATATCACTTTTGAGGATGAGGCAGCCAGTGAGCTCGAGAAGATGGTTTTGTCTATCACCAGCAAATGTTCTATTTCAGGAGTTGACTGCCTTCTTAACTTGAAAGAGCTTGAGTTGAACAGCAGCTTCTGCGGTAGTTTGCTTGGCGATGCCAAACAGATATCCAAGCTAACTCTTCGTGGTACATTGCTAGAGCAAGATGCTCTTCAAACACTGGCCAAGAAACCAAATATACGCTCTCTGGTGCTCCTGGATAAGTCTTTTCGTCGAAGTCAAAACAAGATTACATTGAAAAAAGATGAGTTCTTGTGGCTCAACCTTCTTGTTGTTGACTGCTCGGCCATCACAAAGATAGTCTTCACCAGAGGATCTGCTCCTAGGCTCAAGAAGATTGTCTGGTCATCTTCCACATCTCTCTCCGGCATCAACAAACTTCCCAGATTGAAGGAGCTCAAGTTCAACTTCAACGGTGTCGGTGACCAAGTCCCTGTTGAGGTGAGGGAGGCCATTAAAAACCATAAAAACAAGCCTAGTCTTAAACTTAATGGGCCAGAAACTCAAGACAAAGCAAAAGGAGATGAACAAGAGGATGACGATGGTGCTGCAAAATCCTCTTTCTGCTGGAAGAAACAGGTCTGACGCTGGAAGGGCCTCTCCGTTGATCCCATGGTGTGGTTTGCGTGTGCTAGTGTGGATTGCACTCTGTTCTGCTTGTCTGTTGATTTCATTCTGCTGTGTGTTTATGTTCTGCGTGCATTACAACTGAAGTATGTCCGTTTACTTGCTCTACATGAGTGCCCTAGTGGCTTCGATTGAGCATAAATGGTTGTATCTATGCTTGGATTTGAATTCGTGTGTCTTTCCTCTGTATCGAACAACATATGCATTCGTGTACGGTTTCATGTAATAAAGTGTGATGTTTGTGCGCACATTTGACTTCCTATTAATATTCAGTGTGATATCAGTATGCTTTGGTTGGGTTTCTGCAACTCAAAGATGAACTGGTGTGGTGTGTGTCATGATATAGTTACCTGTAATGTAGGCATCCGTTTCTTCAAACCAGCTGAGTAGTTCTTGCAGTAATGCCTGATGATGTACTTGAAGCAGAACTTTGTGCAGATTAAGCATGTGTATGATCCACAATCTGTCTGCAGCTCCTGATTGCCAGGCAAGCACTAGCGCCACAGGAAGAATGGAATCTGTTTTCAGCTGTATGTTGGCGTGCATTTAGTAGGTCGCGTAGTTTCTCCCATTGTTTGCTGGTGAAGATGCCAATACAGCTCCATATTTACCAATCCACTTGAAATGTTCAGACACATGCAGCAATCTCGGTTCTTCGGTTCCTCATGTCAGAAACCAAATCGAAGCATGAGACCTGCAGAGACAGAAGCAAAGATATTAGGCATATAAACTCAGTCAGACAGGGTACCTCGTCACCGAATTGTCACTCCACGGATCAAAACCTGACGGTGGAACTAAACAGTGAGAAGTGCTCCATTAGGCTGTGACGTATCTATTGTAGTCATCTATCCACTGCAATTCATTCAGAAAAAAACCTGTATAACGATGTAAGTATATGGGTGGAGAGGAGCACTAGCACCTACCAATCCACTTGCAATGTTCAGACACTTGCATAACAATCCTCACTTCCTAATGTAAGAAATTAAATCGAAGCATAAGACTTGCAGAGACAGAAGCTCGCCTATTAGGCATCGAGGAGGAAAATCATCAAGAAAATGTAGTCTCTGCTGCTCTAATTCCTCTTTCAAATAAGCAGATCGGAAGGAGTTGGAGGAGGTGCAACGCCCCCGCCTTACCTCGAATCCGTGAACAACGACGAGCCGCAAAACACGACAGTGACGACGGCCTTGTCCTTCCACTTTGTTGGTACTGGCCGATCTTTTTCGGTTTCGATCGAGGCCGCGACGGAGGAGGCCACGGCGAGGGTCCAGCCGGCCGACCCTGGAAGAGGAAGACAGAGAAGAGAGGGTGGGGATGCGGATGTGACGGCCCACGTGTCAGCCACTGTAAAGTCACCTGACTTAATGAGACAAGGAAGTGCATTCTCCTTTATTGGTGAAACTTAATTTTTCTACCCAAATTCACTCTTTTGGGAATAATTCACCTTTTCTGTTTAGCTCTAAACAAAAATTTGGCACGATCTAGTCTCATAAACTATTTTAGTTGGCCCATGTTTCAAAAAGAAAAAAACTATTTTAGTTGGCCCGATCTAACCCTATATAAGATTCTCAAATGATAACGCACACAAATGTGACACTTATTAACACGCCCACACGCACTCGGTACCGTTTGATTCATTTACACGAATTTTCAAGCAGTTTGTCATCTGGGCCAAGAGCCACGTAAGCACCCAGCGTCGTATGGGCGTTATCATTTAGTGCCACACGTGTGGGCACTCCTCACCCAAACGGACACAAGACGCTCGCTGAACGTGTGGACGAAACTGCTCTTCGTCCACACGACACTCACACGGTGATAGATGGCAACTACATGTGTGCATATGTCGCAATTAATTAATCACACATGGCAATTATGGTTGACCATACATGGCAACTATGGCTTAACCACACACGGCAACTACGTGTGTACATATGTGGCAACTAATTAATCACACATGACAACTATGAATTGACCACACGTGGCAACTCCAATTAATTACACTTGGCAACTATATTTAATGATACATGGCAGACATGACAACTACAAATAATTACACGTGGCAACTGAAGTTGGTAACACGGCAATTGTTGGAGTGGCAAATAATTACACTTGGCAACTATATTCGCGCTCACGGGTGGGGGTGAGCAGTTGCCAAACAGAGCCGTGTGGGGCGTCGTAGCTGCGCCCAAACGTCCTGATACAACCACACGACTTATGTTGTCCGGTATCCATTGTGTCACACGTGTGGCAGTTATCAACGTCCATAGAATTTGTTTTTTTAGCTTTTTTTCCTTATATTGGCTATTGGGTACCTTTTTTCGACAAAGAATATTTTTTACTGGTTCAAATGAAGTATCAAGTGGATACAAATCTAATGAGCGCACACCCAGACCTCTAATAACCAGCTACATGAGTAGCCATGTCTAGTAGCTTGGGTACCTTTAGCCTTTTGATGCAGTCATGTAACCAAGCACAATGTTAATGACAGTGCATCGCGTATAAACAACCTTGACAACACTGTTCGTCAAGTCCTGATTTATATTAGTGCATGGCCCAAGAGAACATCACATCGTATTAAAGGGTAATTCACCGAAGAGCTCCAGGAATGGGCCGGCCCATTTTGTGGTTTAACCCCAACCGGTTTTGGGAAAGTTCTAGAACCTTCCCTGAACCGGGTTTTTTATGTTTTTCTTTCGGTTTTTCTTTTTATTTTTACTTTTTTCTGTTTTTCTTTTCCTTTGTCTGCTTTCTTTTTGTTTTTTCTTTACTTTTATGTTTTCATTTTTATTCTTGTTTTTCAATTTCCGAAAAGCTATTAATTCACGATTTGTTTCTAAAAGCATATTTTTTTGAATGATAAACATTTGTGTTCCAAAATCGTGGTTTTAGTTTTACTAAATCGTTACTCTTAAATCATGAACTTTTTTTTAACTGTGAACATTTTTTAAAAACTCACGAACATTTTTATTGAAATCGTGAACAATTTTTTTAGAAACTTATGAACATTCTCTTAAGTCATGAACATGTTTTTAAAATCATGAACATTTTTTTGAAATCATGAAAAATTTAAAATTAAAGACTACTTTTTCAAAATCATGAACATTTTTTTTCAAATTCGTGAATATTTTTTGAATTTTGAACGTTTTTTCCAAATCCGTGAACAGTTTTCTGAATTGTGAACATTTTTTTCTCAATTAGTGAACATTTTTTAAATTATGAACATTTTTTTAAGTTTGTGAACATTTTTTTACAAATTCATGAACAGTTTTTGAATTCCAGAGCGTTTTTCTGTAATCATGATTTACTTATTTTGTGAACATTTTTCAATTCCACGAACATTTTTTTGAAATCATGAACATTGTATTAAATTCATGTTTTTTTAAATTTGTGAATTTTTTTGCCAAATTCATGAACATTTTTTGAATTACCGAGAATTTTTTGTTAATCATGATTTTTTAGATCATGATTATTTTATTTAAAATTACAACTTTTCTGAAATTTAGGACCTTTTGATATCCCGAATTATTGAAAAAAGGAAATAAAAGAAAAGGAAATATTCGCAAAAAAACAGGCGCCGTCCCGGCCACATGGGCCGGCCAAGAAGGGGAGCGGGCGGGGGGGGGGGGGCGCTTCCTTCGCAGCGCGTGCTGCGCCCTATAGGCGCTCCCGTCCCTCAGTGCCTTCTAATTTTTTTCCTCAAATTTCTAACTTGCAACTAGTAGTGGGTCGGTTGTTGTGAATAAGAGGGCGCGGCGGTCATGAAGCTTCTTCATTTTTGTTGATCCGCCGGTGTCAGCATTTGTTTCTTTTCTTTTTCTCTTTCGTTTTTTTGGGCGTGTCTGTGCTGCTTCCGCCCCAGCACCTATCTGATTGTATCGGTGATGTTTGCTTTGTAATACAAAGCGTGGGGAAACCCTATTTCGTAAGTTGTTGTGAATCGGAGGTCAAAATTGAAATACTTTGCCATTTTACAATTCTTGTTGAAACAAAGGAGAAGGATATGAATTATAGAGGATGTGATTCTTTCTGGAATTTTTCTTTAGGTGTCGTTTGGATGTTATCCTATACTAGTACAAATGCCCGTGTGTTGCAATTGGCGAAAAAAATTAAAATATGCACTGCATGCTTTACACAACACTTCTTATATCGATTTTGGCAAACGTCAAAAATAAGGTTACATTGACTATTGCTTTTTGGTCCATGTAATTTGGAGTGAATAAGCCATCCTAATCGTTTGTAAATTCGTAGAGTATTTTCTTGAACTTTTTTTAAATGGAATCTTTTTTTGAAGACGTACATTATCTAGTTGGGGAATGCGCAATGCTTTTTTGTTCTTATATTTGGTTTGCAGATGCATTGATTTTTTAAATAGTGAAGGGTCATCGTACAATTTTGGTGATTCCAAAAAAAGGAGGCGAGCTCTCTATCCCTCTTTGTCTTTCCACTTCTCTCAGGAACAAACACTTGGCCAAATTCTTTTGAGTCCCAGTGAAATTATACATGATGCTATGCACGAGTAAAAGCAGCAGGCTGCTGGCGTAATTATGCTGACATTGGAGAGTCGAGATCTAAATCAAAATTACATTGTCATATTTTTGTCTAGCAGAAGGTAGATCAAGTATACTGGATGCTACCCTCATCCACATATTATAGTTAAAGAGTACATATCTAGATTTTCTGAAAGCTAAAAACTCATGTCATTTATAGCCAACAATATCTAATTGGCCCTACTTGTTTACATCGAATGAATTATGAGGCATGCTTTCCTTAGCTTCATATCTGAAACCACCATCACGGGCTGCCATCCAATAGAGAAGCTCCTTTTTCAGAATACCACATGTCTTGTTGAGAGAAACTGGAAGTTAGCACCAAGTAAATCAATCTTGAAAAAAGAATAAAGTTTCCAGAGTAGCTTACAGAATCAATTTGCACAAACATATGGAGATTTTACATAGCAG